AATATCTTTTTCCATCCCTTCACTTTCAGTCTGTGTATGTCTTTGGGTTTGGAGTGAGTCTCTTGTAGGCAGCATATAGTTGGGTCTTGTTTTTTGTCCATTCAGTGACTCTGTCTTTTGACCATATGTGCATTCAGATCCTTTACATTTAGGGTGATTATTGATAGGTATGTACTTATTGCCATTGCAGGCTTTAGATTCGTGGTTATCAAAGGTTCAAGGGTAACTTCCTTACTATCTAAGAGTCTAACTTAACTCACTTAGTATGCTGTTACAAACACAATCTAAAGGTTCTTTTTTCCTTCCCTCCTTTCTTCCTCCTCCATTCTTTATATTTTAGGTATCATATTCTGTACTCTTTGTCTATCCCTTTTTATTACCTCTGGTGACAGCTATTCAACCTTAGGAACACTTCCATCTATAGCAGTCCCTCCAAAATACACTGTAGAAATGGTTTGTGGGAGGTAAATTCTCTCAGCTTTTGCTTATTTGGAAATTGTTTAATCCCTCATTAATATTTAAATGATAATCTTGCCAGATAGAGTATTCTTGGTTCTAGGCCCTTCTGCTTCATTGCATTAAATATCTCATGCCACTTCCTTCTGGCCTGTAAGGTTTCTGCTAAGAAGTCTGATGGTAGCCTGATGGGCTTTCCTTTGTATGTGATCTTATTTCTCTCTCTGGCTGCTTTTAATAGTCTTTCCTTATTGTTGATCTTTGCCATTTTAATTATTATATGTCTTGTTGTTGTCCTCATTGGGTCCCTTCTGTTGGGAGATCTGTGCACCTCCATTGCCTGAGAGACTATCTCTTTCCCCGGATTGGGGACATTTTCAGCAATTACTTCCTCAAACACACTTTCTTTCCCTTTTTCTCTCTTTTCTTCTTCTGGTACCCCTATAATATGAATATTGTTCCATTTGGATTGGTCACACAGTTCTGTCAGTATTCTTTCATTCCTAGAGATCCTGTTTTTCTCTCTGTGCTTCAGCTTCTTTGTATTCCTCCTCTAATTTCTATTTAATTTATTGTCTCCTCCAGTGTACATAATGTGCTTTCAATATACTGCATTGTGTTCCTCAATGATTGGATCTCCATCCTAAATTCATTCCTGAGTTCTTGAATATTTTTCTATACCTCCACAAGCAGGTTTATGATTTTTATTTTGAACTCTCTTTCATGTAGATTAATTAGTTCAGTCTAACTCGATCCTTTTTCTGGTGTTGAGATTTTGCTTTGAACCAGGTTCCTTTGATGTTTCATATTTGTATGTGGTACCCTTTAGTGCACAGAGGCTCTACTCTCTGGAGGTGCTCAGCCCCTTGAGCGATGTTGGGGGTCACAGCAGAGTGGTGCTTGTGCCTGGGGGCAGGAAAAAGCTGTTTTCTGCTTCCTGGCTGCTATGCCTGTCTCCACTGCCAGAACCAGTGGGTCAACCAGACAGGTGTAAGCTTCTGTGATTTGCATTTGTAGCTGCTGTAGTCAGGGCTTCCCTCTGGCTGGCCTGATGCCAGGGCAGGGTTTGCCAGTTTGCGTCCAGGTGTGGGCTGGCTGGAAGGAAGGTGCAGCAGGCTGCATATCATGGTTGGAGGCCTTGACTGTGTAGCCATCCAGGGTGATGGAGCACCTGAAGATTGTGAAAGTTCCAAACCTGCTGGGCAGAGTGCACCTGGACAATTTTGTCTACTTGTCGTTTCTCCTGAGCAGTAAGCTCTGTGCAAGCCTTGCCCCTTTAGCAGCCCTCTCCCTTTTAGGGCCCACCCAGATCAGCCAGATATGAATCCCTGTTTTCCATAAGCAACTGGAATTTCTGTCTCTCTAGGTATTCCACCTTTCTTAGCTTTCCAACCCCACTAATCAGCATAGCACCATGCAATGTAGGTTGGTGCCCCCAGAGCAGATCTCCAGGGCTGGGTGTTCAGTAGTCCCAGGCCTCCACTCCCTCCCTGCTCCGTTTTTCTTCCTCCCACTGGTGAGCTTGGGTGGGGGATGGTTTTGGGTCCTGCCGGGTCACGGCTTCGTAAGTTACCCTGTTCTGTGAGGTCTCTTCTTTCCTCCAGGTGTGTGCAGTCTGGTGCAGCCTTCTTTCCTGTTGCTCTTTCAGGATTAGTTGTGTTAAGTATATTTTCATATTATATGTGGTTTGGAGAGGAGGTTTCTGTCTCACCTGTCACATTGCCATCTTTAATCCTATCAAGTGTTCTTTTTTCAATGTGGAAAGACACAGATTGAAAAACAATGTCTTACCAGCCACATTGCTGCCTTCCACTACAGGCTGTGCTCATGAGGACCATAGTGTGTTCATTTGTTTAAGATGGAATTTAATGAGTGACCTTAGGTCTGACTCAGGAAATACTAGCTTTATGTTTCTGAAAGTTCTTAGAATTTTATTCTCAATTCTGGCAGAGGAAACACTTTAAAAGCTTTCCCACCCAGCCAAGCAGAGCTGAGTCCTGAGCAGGAGACGGCATCGCTCCCTGATTCCTGGCTCACGAGCACGGGGGGGCCCAGTTCCAGCTGGTGGTGGTGAACAAAGCTCCAGCCGCAGCCCTCCCTCTGTCCCTGCTGCTGCCCAATGCCAGTATCGGGCAAATTCCAGTCTTGGGCAGCAGGAGGCCCATCGTGGTAGGAAAGGCTTCTGAGGTCGTGGGCCACTCCCTGTCCTGGTGCATCGCTGTCCAGTCAGCTCTGAAGCCAGAGAACAAGGGTCAGCCCTTGGCCTGGCAGAACTGGGCAGACTGGATGGAAAGAAGCCACCCCCAGATGGGCGTGGGCCCTGAGGGGGAGCAGTCATGACTAATCCGAGGGCACAGAGCCTGGCGGTCTTGGGAGGGAAGCGGGGCGCCTCCGTCACGCTGCTGGAGCTGCTGGTTTGGAAGCCACTGGTTACTTTCTCACCTGGGACCCAGCTCCTGGCATGAGGAGAGGACGTGCCCGGGGCAGGGAAGGGAACTGATGAGCCTGGCAGAGCCTGTCCTCAGGCCCCAGAGAGCAAGGAGGGGAAGGAGCGAACCCCACAGAATGACGCCAGCCCTGTGCGTGATAGAGTAGCTGGGATGGCGGGCTCGATGATGGGAGGGTTAGACGTTCCCCCCTGAGGACATGAAAGCCGATCTTTAACTGGCTCTACAGAGCCCCGAGGGACAAGGGGGGTGTGGCGGTGGTTTGCATACTTCTTTTAGCTGCACACTTCCCAACCTAGGGCTTTAGTTGCAGTTCTAGCCAGTGATTGCAAAACTGGACCAGTGGGGGACTGAGGTGCTGATGCTGCAGGTTGGGGCCTTCTTGGAGCTGAGCTCCAGTTTGGGACGCCTCTCAGGGCCATCTCGGGGTCCAGGTGGGGCACTGGGGGCCCCGTGTCCACCAGACCCACGTACTGTGCACATGGATTTTGGTTAAGCCTGACGTCCTGTCAAGGCCGTGTCTGTTGCCCTGGTGACCTTGGGTTACCCACAGTGAGGATTTTCATGGTGACTGTGCTTAAGTGTGACCTCCCCCTCAGGGATTCATCACCCTTCCCCTTAGGAACTCTATGAAGTCCTGTGGCGCAATGGGCATGGATCCTGAGCATCTCACCCTCCAGGACGGGCTGCCCTGCCCTGCCAGAGGGGTCCAGTTCCCTCGGGCCCGCACTCTGCTCTGCAGGCAGTCGGCCCGTAGCTCTCGGCAGTGGGGCTCCCTATCCCGGCCCCTCCCTGCCAGGGCTGGGGACCAGCTTCCCTGGCAAGTGTCACCAGTCCGCCTGGGCTCCAGTTCCTGTGCACCTGGGTGGTGAGGCACACCTGGGTGGTGGTGCCCAGGCTGATTCATCTGCATGTTTGTAAGTGCACCTGCAGGTCTTCTCACCGGGCTCACTGCTGTCAGGACGGCAAGGAGAGGGAAGGAGGGGCTGTGGGCCTGCTTTCTGTCTGACCTCCAATGCCACCTCTCACCACCGAGTGCCACTGTCCTGGTGCTGCTGAGCTAGGCAGAGAGGTGCTCGTGGCAGGAGGCCTGATCCTGGGGGAAGTGTCTCCGGGCCCCTGTAACATGTTTCTACACGTTTCGGGGCTGAAAGCAATGTAGGTTTACCCTTAGACTTGGTCAGAAGTCTAAACACAGGTGAGCCAGCAGGCTGGCTCCTCTGGAGGCCCGGGAGTCCATGCGGCCCCCCACCGGCTCCCAGGCCCACCCACGCTCCCTGGCCCCCCCAGCTCCCAGGACCCCCGTGCTCCTGGGACCCCTGGCTCCCGGGACCCCCCGGCTCCTGGGCCCACCCATATTCCTGGGCTCAAGGCCGCTCTTTGCTCAGCCTCTCCCATCATCGCGTCTGTGGCGCTTACCGCCCCGCCCTCCTCCTGCAGGGACCCTGTGGTGACCTTGGGCCCACCTGGCATAAAACACCAGGGAGGCAAAGGGGAGCTCAGGGATTTCCCGCTATGGCCCTGGAGCCACACAGCAATTCCAACACCATCTTTACTCCTGCAACACAGGGACAGTCCAATCAACACAACCCCACACTGTCCAGGGACTGGCTGATGTCACTCAGGCAGGAGCCCTCTGTTGAAACCTAAAAGCATACTGTTAAAACACAAGCTGTTGGGAGGAGGGGGTGAGCTCTGAGCACGTGCAACCCCGCCAGGAGGCCACACGGTCTCTCGCAGGCACACTTTTGTTGCCACAGCTGCCTGTCCTGTGCGCGCCTCTGTCCTAGGGAACAAAATGTGAGTGTGTCCAAGGGCATCTAAGCTAATGCTCTAGGACCAGATTTCCTCAAATCCTTTCGTTTAATGGGGAAATGGAGGCCAGGAGATGACAGAGTCCAGGCATGGTCAGTACAGGCTCCCAGAGTGCTGGTGGGCTGCCCAGGTGGAAGGGGTCTCAGGCCAGCACACGGCTCCCCATGGGACAGGTGCCAAAACGGCTGTGAGGGAACCTCTTACCCACGGCGCTCTCCACCCAGGACACCGCTGTGTAAGACTATGGCTTCAGAAGGAAAAAACCCCAAAGCAGGCAATTTGTAGACTTCAAAGATATATGTATTTAAAGATGATATAAGTCTTTTTTGAAAGTGATTTAGTCGAGATTGTTGATTGGCAGGAAAAAGGTCAAGTCGAGGAAAGTGAGAAACAGACCAGCAAGGTGCTAACATCCCCCCACCGCAGACGGCACTGCTGCCGACGACCCAGAGCACATCTGGAGGACACAGCCGTGTGGATGAAGGGCTCTGTGCACGGTGGAGAACTAGAAAATGGCCAGCTCATCATGCCTGGCTTTGTGGGTCTGATAGTTGGTCAAGGCCAAGGGCTTGTTTGTGTGTGGTAGGCTTTCATATACGCGAATATGCATGAAGTCATCATCGTCCACCTGGACCTGGGAAGAGAGCATGTCAGGCCCGGGCAGCCTCAGCCCCAGGCTCCCCTGTCCGATGGGGCTGTTTGAGGGCTGCCCCAGCTGTGCTTCCTTCAGGTCGTTAGAGGGGCTGCTGGCCTTCCCACCTCCCTCATGTGCAGGGACACCCTGGTTACGCCAGCCAGCATCCCCAGCATCCCCATTCACTCTACCACAGCCCTTACTTGCCTGAAAGCTCTGCCCTCTCCACGGGTAGGTCAGCATGTGCACACGCACGCACACACACACACGTGCACACATACAAACGTGCACATATGCAGATGCTTCCAATTGAGGGCCACGGAGCCCCAACTTGGGGGCTGCCATGGGACTCCTCGAAGCACCCCCTGTCTTGGCATCTACGAGCACCCACTTCGGCCTGACCCTCCCGTGTGGCTGACACTCCACCTTGATGATGAAGTTCATCCCTGCAACCAGCTGGCTCTTGAACTCCACGGCCTTGAAAACAGCGTACTTCTTATTTTCCCTCTCCTCCAGCTGGGACCTCACCTGGGGAGGGGGGAGAATGGCAAACGTGAGCAGGAGCGGCTGATGCATAAGCTTACTTCTCACAGTAAATGTCGCAACCTGAATTCTAATGCCCACACTGTACAGATTTTCTGTGACATGATCTGTGTAACAGGGAATGCATTTAACTATTACCTATATGAAAAAGTGCAGACCCAGTTCCTTAACTCGGCCAACATTTCAGGGATGCTATTTCGGTATATCATCTGCCCTTTCTTTTCTAGCCATGGGATATTTCTACATTTCCAGCACTATGACCGTATGTACAAATTTATACTGTTTTCTTAGCGTGCAGAGTTCATTTCAAAGCCTACATATAATTTTTAATTACTCTTAAAATCAAAAACTAAAACATTTTAAAAGTTCAAGCCAATTTTATCTGAAATTTGCATTTAACTTTCACATATTTGAATTCCCCTAACGGGGGCACTTAGGCTGTTTCTAGTTTTCCGTGTAACAGATGAGGCAGCAGGTAAGTGCTGTGCAGGTAAAAGCACCTCACTGGAGCCCCAGTGGTCTGTGCAGGTGCACAGTGCTGGGACCGAGGCCAACCTTGTCTGGTGATGGAGCCTCTGGGTTGGTCCTGTTTCCCAGGGCTGTGGCCTTTCAGGAACTCAAAATCTTTACAGGCATAGGACAGGTTTATCTTTTTTAAAGTTTAAAGTCTGATGTACTTTTAAAAGTGCTCTGGCCGCTAGAGTATACTGCCCTAGTGCTGGGCTCACCAGCTAGTCCCAGAGGGTCACAGGGTCTGTGCACCAGCTGCAGGAAGCACGCTGGGTGCTGGGAGGCAGTGGGGGATGGGTGGGTGGTGACCGTGGTCACATGCAAGTGAGCCACCCTGGCAATCCAAACACAGGCCTGGGGCCTCCAGGGAGGGGTCTTCCTGGGGATAAGGCTGCTGTCTAGGCAAGCAAGGTCATGAGAGAGGGTCGTGCAGGGAAAAGGCAGGCTGGGTCCTGCTGCTCCTGTTCCTCCACCCTCCGCACATGCCTGCCCGGGCAGCCAGGGCCTTCCTGTGCCTGAATTCTTACCTGCAGCACTCTGGGTCGTGCAAGGTGCCAGGCCAGGCTGCGGAGGACTGACCCTGCACAGTTTACAGGACAGGGAGCACGAGAGGCAGCCACAAACGTGTGGGGGTCTGGGGAGGAACTGCCTCCCTCTTCACCTGTTTCTGGAGAGGCAGTGAGGCAGCGAGGCCCCACTGTTTGCAAGGAATGGGGTTAAGACTAGGCTAAAGGCGGTGGAACGGGGGTGGGGAGGCCTTGAATGCCAGGCTGGGGCACGGCTTGTGGGTGACAGTTCACGCGTTCCATTTGTGACCAGGATGGAGGAGGGCTGGGTTGTGGCTGAGGGGCACAGAAGGCCCAGGGTCAGCTGGAAGGTGCGGGCCCCTAGCCCTTGGGATCAGGGTGGGGCAGGAGGCCGGGGGAGGCGGGAGCACCGGCCGGTGGGTGCTCGGACCTGAGGCGGATCTCACGGCTCCGCTGCCTCCCGCCGGTTCTTGCCCGCACCCAGGCGCTCCTGAGGGTGGTCAGTGCCAAGAGCCGCGGTGCGGCCCCCTGCCCTGCTCCTCCCAGAGACCCCAGCAAGTGGGCGCAGCCTCCTGCCTGCCTCAGAGCCTCTTCCAGGAGCAGTGGCCGCTGTCCCTTGCATGTCCCTCTCAGGTGATCAACACCAAATGAGGGGCCCTCTGAGAAGAGAACTCTCCCCTCCCGGATGAGCTGACACACAGAGACCATGTGACAAGTGGCCTGGAAAATGAGGAAACGGAGGGTGTCACACAGCAGTCTGCCTGGGGAGAACCCGTAACCGGCCCAGGCCGGCTCACAGGAGTCCCGCCGATTCCTAGCTTCCCAAGGTCTCCTGGCACTGACCCACCGGCCTCCACTGCCCTTACCACCTGGGACAGGACCCTGGGGGCGGTGGCAGGGAAGGAAAGCTAGGGAAACACCCTGTCCTACCGACCGTAGCCCTCACTTCGTGAGCCTGGGCTAACCACACCAGCTTGGGGCTCCTGGCGCCCCTTCCCAAGGTCCTTCCTACCACCTCTCAGCGCACCCGCTACAGGGCCGGGCCCCAGGTAGGGCTTTCCTGACCTCTGGAGGGTATTCTCCTGGCTGACCCTCCCTCCGGAGGCCTCGGGTGCACTTCCTAGGAGTGAGGGTGCTGGTCCCTGCCGTCACACACTTGTCCCGGGCGGGCGGTCCCCTGGGAAGGAAGATGAGCAGGAGGATGCCAGCGCAGGCCCGCTGGAACCCCAGCTGCTTACCTGGTCCGCGATGGCCTGGATCTCCCCTGTGGCAGGCTCTGTGGAGGACCAGCCACCAAACAACTTATCAGGGATGGGCACGGCCTCAGAAAAGATCACAGTGATGTCAGAGGCTGAGTCTGCACGGGCCATCAGAGGGTCGGGGACCTTGCGGTTGGAGCGGTTCATGAGGCAGGAAAACGCGAGTTGCACTGACTCGTGCAGCCAGCGTCCCAGAGTCCTGAGCCTCAGCACAAAATAGGCAAAATCACGTGACAAGTGGGCGGACAGCACCTCAGAGGAGCCTGCACCCCGCCCGGCTGTGGGCCAGGTGCACTTCCCACGGGAAATGCCTTGGGACGTGGCAGGGACTAAGGACAGTAGGTCTCAGGCTGGGGTGGGGCGATGTCGGATAAGGGCTTTGGAAAAGGGCTTTGTTCTGACAGATTGTGATTTAGGATTCAGATTCGATTCAACCAGCTAGGTAAGGGAAGGGTCTGCCACCTCATAGGCAGCTGGGATGGGGCCTGTCTGGACAAGACTGGCCTTCCAGAGAGATGCAGCTGACCCCCACACCCTGAGGACCGCACCTCAGTGGGCACCGGGAGGCGCCCGCAGGAGCAGGCCCAGCCCTGCCTGATGATGGGGCCCATCAGAGCCCTGGAGGGAGCAGCCTGTGAGCTGATGTGTGGGGAGGCAAGCCTTCCCGCACCTGCTAGGGCAGAGCCTGGTCCGGGACTTCAGGAAGACAGGACGGTCAGCTGTGGTCGTGCCCTGTGGGCAGTGGAAGGAGAAACTCCCATGATCCATTCTTCACTGAATGCATGTAGAAATGAGACAGAGGTGACCCCATAAAAATGGAGAACTCCACATAGAAAACAGAGCACGTGCCTGCAACCCCACCACAGGTGCCATCCGGGTGACTGGGGTCCAGGCGTGGGAGGGCTCCGCTTCCTGATCCCAGCCCCCCCAACCCCGGCAGGGGATGTGTTGGGATCGGGGTCGGGGAGCCCCAGTGGGGCTTGGGCGGGCCCTGCGGTGGGGGCATGAGCCCCATGGGGGTGAAGTGTAGGGATGCTGGGGAAACAGGCACCATGTTGGGGGACCAGTGATGGGGGTTGTTGGGGGCCCTCGAAGATGGTGTCCAGCCGGCCCCAGGTGGCTGTGCTGTGTTGTCGCGTTGGGTTGTTTTGAGCTGACTGCTGCTGAGAGCCCGCCAATTAAGGACAAGCTGTTCTCTATCCTTTAACTGCCTAAATTGACGTAGGAAGAGTGATGGTCAGACATGACTTACTCATCTGTAAAGCTTGTGTGCCTGGCAGGGGCAACATCTCACTGCCAGACTTCTGCTCTCGGCCGCGCCCCTTTGAAAGCCCAGGCCCCTGTCCCCTTCCTCAGCTCAGGATGGTGGGCTAATAAGCCTCCACTGCCTGCCCTCCTGTGGGCCTCGTGTTTTTACTCAGCTGTGGCCAGGCCCCTGCGTCTGCGGAGGTCGCGCCCTGCACACCAGGTGAAACCGCCACCCACACGGCGGGGCGGGTTCTTGGCTCTGAACGAGAAAGTTTTCTCGAGAAGGTCAGAGGAGTGTAGCTAAGGAATGGGTTCGGTAAAGCAGGAGTAGCAGGGAATGGCAGCTGCCTCGTAGGCGGCAAAGAGGGAGCGAGTAAGAATGGGGCAGCAAAGGGTGACTTGCCGAAATTCCGCTCGGCAGTGGGCGAATCCCTCGCCAACTTCTAAAGCCAGGCTCACCTGGCGTCCAGCATCCGCTCGGGTCTGCACAGCGTAGGAACTAAGTCCCCACCAGCCCAGGATCTGGGGGTGCCGCAGAACACCGTGTGGAGTGGCATTATGTGCTGAGCGCTCCCCAGAGGCAAAGACCAGAGATTTTCGGGCAGCCTCCTGAAGGGCACTATGGTACAGCTGCTGTCCTGTCCGGGTCACCCACGCGACGGGAACTGGCCAGCCCCGCTCAGAGCTCCCAGTAACCCCTCCCTCCTCCTCTGCAGTGGAGCAGAGACAGCGAAGACTTGTGCTTCTGTCTGGAAAAGAGAATGAAACAGGGATGTGACAAAGACACTTGCTTTTGGAAGAGCCCAGAGACAAAACGCAGTAAGTTGAAGTGTGAGCACATTTTATTTCAGGCAAAAAGCGCACGCTTGAAGAAACAGGGGTGGGGGCAACCTCAGAGAGGAGGCACGCTTAAGGGTTTGGGGCTTGGGGTTCCATGGGGCCTTTTGGGCAGGGGTCAGCCTGCACACAGGTCACATGGACACAGGTTTTGTCTTGGGAGTAGGGTCATTCAGGTGGTGGCGTGGACGGGGATCCTGGATCTCTGGCCCTGGCTGCATAGTCACCTGATCGATTAAGGGGCCGGAAGAGGAGGCAGAAGGGCGTGTGGTTGAAGGTGGAGAGTGAGCCGGGCCTTTCTCTTGGGCTAAGTAGATTTCACAATGGCCTGGCCCTGTCCCGCTTCCCCACCCTGCGTCAGGACTCTTCCCGGGAAGTGGGACTGGTCTCCCTCCTGTCAGCACGTCGTCTGTCAGCTCAGTGTGAGAGCACCCAGAGGACCCAGGCAGGAGGAAGGGAAGTGCTTCCTCGCCTACAGGCCGTGCAGGCAACACCTGGGATAGGGCCCCATGTGGGGGTGGGCGGGGGCCCTGCCGAGGGGGTGGGTCCATTTCCCACCCTGGCATGAGTATGGCCCCACGAGAGTCGGAGGTCATGGCCCCTGGCTGGGGCGGGGGTGTGCAGGGAGGGCTGTATGTGGGGGAAGGGGGTTGAGATGAGTAGGCAGCAGGATGTGGGGGCTGCCCCCCTCAGAGGGGAGACAAGCAGCCTGTGCCCCAGCAGGGACCTGGAGGAGCTGGGGGATGGCAGCGTGGGGCACAGAGGCATCCCTGTGTCAAGGGTCAGGCCCTGCCCGGTCTTGTTGCCATGCAGCTGCTTCTGGGGACATCTCTCCCTGCCCCCAGGTGAAGCTTCCACCTGGACAGGGTAGGGTTCTTGAGTCTGAGCAGAAAGAATTCCCCAGTGGGCCAGACGGGTGCAGGTAAGGAAGGGATGCGTCACCGTTAGAGCGGCTGCGAATAGCAGCTGGTCTGCAGGTGGCGGAGAGTGGGGCACGGCAGGGGGAGGAAAGGGGCGCTTGCTGAATGGATCCCTTGCCAACCCCCGAAGCCAGGCTCCCCTGGCATCCAGCGCCCGCTTGGACCCGCATGGCATGGGAACTAAGCCCCCACCAGCCTGGGATCTGGGGCAGCCACAGAGCCACGGGTTGAGGGAGAGCTTCCCGGGGGCAGACAGGAGGCTTTGGGCGGGCTGCTGAAGAGCGTGGTCGCGTGTCTCCCAGACGATGGAAACTTGCCAGCCCACATCAGAGCTCCCAGGGGCCCCTCCCTGCTTGTCCATGTATAACAGAGAAGAGCAGAGACTGGTGCTTAAGTCTGGGAAAGAGAACGAGACAGCAAAGTAACAAGACGCTCACCCTGCAGGAGGGCAGAGACAGAGGGCAGGAGGGTGGGCAGTGAGGGGGGAGACTGTGCCCAAGGCGGGAGGTGCACCCTCGGGGAAACGGGGGTGCAGGCACCCTGAGAGAGGAGGTGCAGCAAAGGCTGAGGATTCTGCCTTGTAAGGCTTCCGGAATGGGGCGAAGGGCAGGGTGGGCGGAGGCGGCGGGGGCTCGCTGTGCAGGGTCCTGACGCCTGTCTCTGGTGAGGGACGTCGTGTCATCGTCCAGCGTCCGTCCTCTCGACGTTTCGTAAGACGGGCTCAGCACAAGGCATTCCTTGATCCTGCCCTCCTCTGGGACAGGGGGAACGCCAGAGCAGTGGGGACACCCCAGTGAGGCCTGCTTGCCCTGCCTGAAGACAGGTTTGGAGGTGGGCCGATGACCACGAATATGTCCAGGCTCTTCCCTCCTGACTCCCTGGCTTTTAAAATGGAATCTTCACCTGAAGATGGAGTCACTCCTGTTCTCACTCCACTGTGTGTATCTTGGCATTTTTCATCCTGGGCAGGAGGAGCTGATCACGATGCTCATCCCACGTCCCTGCCCTACCTCAGTTTCCCTCCCGCCCGGATCCCTCACATGCGAGGCCCGTCCAGCACCCACTCGTGCCGCTGCTTTGGACATCACCAGCATGTGACCCAGAGGCCCATTGAAGCTCTGATTGACTGATTGCATTTGTGTGTGTTTGCGTGTGGTGAGGGCTGGGGGCTGGGGGCAGAGGCCTGGGAAAAGGTCCAGCAATAGGGAGGAGGTGGCTCTAGGTCTCAGGCTGGGGTGGGGGTGATGTCGGATGAAGGGCATTGGAAAAGGGCTTGCTTCTGACAGACTGTGATTAAGGATTCAGATTCGATTCAACCAGCTAGGTAAGGGAAGGGTCTGCCACCCCATTGGCGACTGGGATGGGGCCTGTCTGGACAAGACTGGCCTTCCAGAGAGATCCAGCCATCCCCCCACACCCCGAGGACCGCACCTCGGTGGGCACTGGGAGGCACCCACAGGAGCAGGCCCAGCCCTGACTGCTGATGGGGCCTAGGAGACCCCCAGAGGGAGCAGCCTGTGAGCGGGTGTGTGGGGAGGCAAGCTTTTCTGCATCTGCCAGGGCAGAGCCTGGTCTGGGACTCTAGGAAGACAGGGCAGTCAGCTGTGGTCATGCCCTGTGGGGAGCAGAAGGAGAGACTCCCACGATCCATTCCTCACTGAATGCGTGTAAGAATGAGACAGATGTGACCCCATAAAAATGGAGAACTCCATGTAGAAAAGAGAGCACATGCCCGCTCCCCTGCCGCAGGCGCCGTCCTGTGTCATGCTGGCATGCTGCGGGTGCATCTTCTGCCGCCGGTTCGGTGCCCTCCTCCCAGTGGCTGTAGTCCAGGCATGGGAGGGCTCCTCTCCCCGCTCCCAGCCTCACCTTGCAGGGGATGGGTCGGGATTGGGGTCAGGGAGCCTGGTGGGGCTTAGGTGGGCCCTGCGGTGGGGGCATGAGCCCCGTCAGGGTGGAGTGTAGGGATGCTGGGGAAACAGGCACCAAGCGGGGTTGCCTGGGGTGGGAGGGGGTGGGTGGGCAGGTGGGGCCCTCGAGGATGGTGTCCAGCCGGCCCCAGGTGGCTGTGCTGCTTTATCGCATTGGGTTGTTTTGAGCTGACTGCTGCTGAGAGCCCGCTGGTGAAGGACAAGCTTTTCTCTCTCCTTTAACTGCCTAAATTGACATAGGAAGAGCTATGGTCGGACATGACTTACTCATCTGGAAGGCTTGTGTGCCTGGCAGGGGCAACATCTCACTGCCAGACTTCTGCTCTCGGCTGTGCCCTTGTGGATAAAATGAGAGTTGCTGTGGCCAGGATTCTCACCTGGCTGTGGTTGACTAGCTCACTGCACATCTGTGGGCAATACATGGTGGTTAACTCTATAAAAAGAGCTCTGCCCAGTGCTCTTGGCACAACATGGTGGCAGGGCTGCAAGGCTGTAGGAGAGCAGAGCAGAGGCTGGAGTTGCGGCAGCGCCGAGGACAGAGGCCCAGAGGATGGCTGTGTAGGACGGCTATGCAGACAGAGGGGCCCAGAGGACGGCTGTGGACAGAGGAGCCCAGAGGCAGAGACCAGCTTGCTGCACACAGACTCACTGAGTGAATGGGATTCTAGTGACTGACCTGCCACCTCGAAATAAAGTTGGATATAACCCTTTCACCCCAGGAATGTTCTGCTATCATTTTCTTTGGTCACATTGAATCCATAGCAAACTTGCCCGGAGCTGAAACCCATTGGCAAGACAGCCCCTTTGAAGGCCCAGGCCCCTGTCCCCTTCCTCAGCTCAGGATGGTGGGCTAATAAGCCTCCACTGCCTGCCCTCCTGTGGGCCTCGTATTTTTACACAACTGTGGCCGGGCAGCTGCGTCTGGGGAGGTCGCGTCCTGCACACTAGGTGATACCGCCACCCGCATGGTGGGGCGGGTTGTTGGCTCTGAACGAGAAAGTTTTCTTCAGCAGGTCAGAGGAGTGTAGCTAAGGAATGGGTTCGGTAAAGCAGGAGTAGCAGGGAATGGCAGCTGCCTCGCAGGCGGCAAAGAGGGAGTGAGGAAGAACGGGGCAGGTAAGGGCGGCTGCATCTGGGGAGGTCGCCCCTATGCACCAGGTGAAACCACCACCTGGATGGAGCAGGACTGTCGAGACTGAATGAGAAAGAATTCTCACCTGGCGTTGTGTCCTCCTGGGTCTGCGTGAACTAAGTCCCTGCCAGCCCAGGATCTGAGTGCCCTGCAGAGCCCTGGGTGGAGTGGCATTATGTGCTGATCACTCCTCAGGGCCCGAGTGTCACCTATAAGCCTCTTTGCTCATTTTCAAAAGGGCAAAAATCACACCTCCCCTGCAGGATTGTTTTCAGTTGTATGAAAAGCTGGGTAAGTAGCCATAGCTACGTGGTAGGCAGTCATCGGCTAGTGATGACTAGTCCTTATCCTCTTTGCCCCTTACATTAGTGGGCCCACTAATGTCCCCCCAGGGGAAAGCCAGGTCCACCCAGAAACTCAGCAGGTGATCTTAATTTGGAAATAGGTTGTTTGCAAAGGTCATTAAGTGGATTAGGGTTATCAACTGAAATGCACATGTTTGCTGTTAAAGAAACACCGTGTGTATTCAGAGTGGTTCTGAGGAGTATAACACAGTAGTTTTATGGGAAATTGCTCCAAAGCCTCCTGCATATGGGATATCTTCACTACTTTTTACAAACGGGAATACGTGTGCAGGAGAAAAGGTTACATGTGTCAGTACACTAAGCAGTGCGGCATGGATCCAGCTAGTCTGTGTCCTGTAAGATCACACTATGTGCGTTCCAGCGCTATCTATGTGTGTGAGAGGAGGCAAGGAGCAGGGCTGTCATAAACAGAAGAAAGGGTGTTTTTGGGTGAGGTCACCCTCATCTGGGGACAACGAGTTCTCATTAGTTGGATGACCTCATCATCCCTGGAGGGAAGAAGGCATATGTGACATTATCTTATCCATGCTGACCAGAAAATTCCTGACTGACTACATTTCTGGGGGAGGTGGAAACTGCAATTAGGTTAGTATGAAGCCCTGGTGCAGTGCTTTGGCCTGGCAGAAGTGGCCCCCTGTTGGGCCTGTGCCTTCTTTTTTAACAGGACCCCAGAGCCCCAGAGGCTGTGAGAGGCAGGAAGGGTCCTTCCCTAGCGTCTGCAGAGGGAGCTTGGCCCTGCCAACACCTTACTTTCAGATTTCTGGCTTCCAGACTATGAGACGCACATTTCTGTTGTTCTAAACCACTCAGCTTTTTGCACCCAGTGACGGCCTCCCCATGCCTTCCCTACACATCATACTTCTGCGTACTGATCCAAAATTATGCTTCAAATGTACCACAGAAACACACACGCGTGTGCATGTGAGCTCTCTCTCTCTCACACACACACACACACACACACACACTATTGAACCGACTTATTTTCAAGAAGTTCAGACTAAAGTTGAAAGGCCAGGACTTAGGAAACACAGAGAACCCATGAAGATGGACTTTTCTATATTCTAGAAAACAAAGCACAATCAGGGCAGTCTTTAAGATATTTCCCAACTTTTTGTTATAAGCATCTTCAAACATGGAAAACTTTGGAAGAGTAGGAGAAAAAATGCCTGTGTTCCTACCACTGATTCATCCATTTTAACGCTTTGCCATATTTGCTTATGCACTGCATGTGCAGATGTGTGTGTGTCATTATTTATTTACTGAATTAACTTCTAGACATCATGACATGTCACCCTTACCAGATACTTCAGTTATTTCCTAAATGTAAGGATATTCTTCTGTATCTGGTGCTGGCAAACTACCGTCCATGGGCCCAATCTGGCCCACCATTTGTTTCTGAAAGTAAAGTTTTATTAGAACACAGTCATACTCACTCATTTACATCGTGTCTATAGCTGCTTTTGTACTACCATGCAGTTGTTTGGCTGACAAAGCTGAAAATAGTTACCATCTAACCTGTGCAGGAGGGTTAACACGGGGCCTGACTGCTCTCTCTAGACAAGATTGGTCCTAAGCTGGTGTGTGGGAACATGGACACTGGGAGGGCTCCCATTACCCTAGCTGTGATAAGGATGACTCACTGAGCCTAAACCATCTGGAAAAACACTGTGGCTTTGTGCAGCACACCTGCTTTCCCTCTGGGAGTCTGCAACTCTCATCCATGCCAGGCAGAGGGTGCCAACATGACCAGCCCCTAATGCAACCCCTGGGCTCTGATCTCTGAGGAGCACCCTGGTAGATAACATCTCACATGCGCTGTCACAGTTCCTTGCTGAGCACGTAGGAGAATCCCGCACAGCTCCACTGGGAGAGGCTTCTGGAAGCTTCCTCTGGGCTTCCCCTGGACCTACTCCGTATGCCTTTCCCTGGGCCGATCTTGCTTTGTATCCTTTTGCCCTAACAAATCACAGTCCTGAGATGTCCTATCAAATCAACAAACAAGGGAGTGGTCTTGGGCGGGGGCGGGAGCCCCACTCTGTATAAACACCATTGTCACCCTTAAGAAAATAAACACTTATTCTGCACTATAAGCTAACATCTAGTCTCAATGCAAGCTTTCCCAATTGTCCCCAAAGTGACTTGTTAGCTTTTTCTTGTACCAGGAACCAATCGAGATTTGCATAAGCATTCGGCCCTTCCTTTATTCACTTCTTCCTTCCCTCAGGACGTTGGTCCCGGAAAGCGGGCAAGGCTCGTGCAGCCTGTCCAGGCCCGGACGGGCTGATCCCGCGCACCGTGCCGGCCTGCCTGGTCCTTCACCGGAGCGCAGACCTCCCGGCTGGACAACGGCGGCCCAGCACGTCCCGCGGGGGCGCTCGGGGGGGCAGGCGGCTGGGGCGGAGGCTGATACTGGGTACAGCCCCGTCCCCACCACCATTCTCGGCCGGGGTGCCTTCGGCTGCATCAAGGATTCAGTGGGTGCCCTCCGCCCGCCCCGCTCCCGCGCGCTGGCCTGCTTCGCTACGAAGAGCCTCCGTCACAGCCGGGGAAAAAGAGCGGCTCACGGACGACGGATACGCGCTCAGCGACCGCACCTTAATGACAGCGCCGGGGCGCACGTCCACCTGATTCACCTTCCCGACCCGGCCACTGCGCGGCGCTGGTTTGCGTCTCGGGCGCCTTTGCGTGACGTCAGGCCGCGCGCCTCGGCGACGCCCGGCGGGCGCGGCCAAGTGTCGTCACGCCGCGCGCGCCGAGGCAAAGCGGCGTGGTCGTCGCTGCGAGGGTCTCGGCGGCCGGCGTCATGGCTCCGCGCGTGCAACTCTCACTGGAGATCCAGCTGGCTCAGCGGCTGGCGGGGAACGAGCAGGTGACCCGGGACCGGGCGGTGCGGAGGCTCCGGAAATACATTGTCGCCAGGACTCAGCAGGCCGCAGGTTGGCGCGGGGCTGGACGTGTGTCGGTGGGGTGCCCTTTGGGCGGCGGGCCGAGCGCGGGCGGTTGGGAGCGGCTGGGAGTGGCGACGGTCGAGGAGCCCAGGGAAGCCTTCACGTGGCGCGGCTGGCGTGGCCTGAGTGCTGTTGTTGCCCCCCGCCCTCCTCCCGCGCTTCGGCCGCTGAGAGCTGGGCGCTGCGCCCGCCACCCTTTTTAGCGCGGCGCCCACCTTGCGCGGAGGTGACTACGTGTCCCTCTGCCTAGACACCCCCTTCGCAGAGCCTTCGCTCCTTTTCCAGCTCAGACCTCGGTTCCTCCGGGAGCCCCACCCCCCACATCACAGCATATACCTCTGGACCCTTGCTCCCTCTGGTTGGGCACCCTCGGTTTTTCCCTCCAATCACTTGTCCCTTTGTGTCTTTCTCATTGTGTAATTATTAGGTTGAGTTTCACACGTTCTCGGAAGGCAGGGAACATGCTTATTAACTGGTGTCCAGCAGGCGTTCTCAGAGTGTGGCTCCCCATCAGGAGCTTGAGCATCAGTTGGAGGTTTGCTAGAAAGGCAGATTCCTGGGTCCTATCCTAGCCCCACTGAATCAGAAACGCTGGCGGCGGGACCAGCATCGGTGCTTTGAGAAGCCCTCCAGGTGATTCCTATTCCAGAGTTGAAGTCCAAGAACCACTCCTGCAGATACACTGTCATTCACACAGGACCTCAGTAATATTTTGAGTGAGTTTATGTGCCTACCTCCTTTAGTACCTGAAGGAGTAAGCTTTTTCTTTTGAAATTTGAAGTTTAATGCAGAAAAGTGCACAGACCCAAGTGTAACTTTGGTTGAAGTATCACACACTGATTCTGTGTAGCCATTGCACCAGCTCGGGAAATGGTAATTGTCTTATTTTGATGTCCAGAAATGATGGACAGTGTCTGATACTTGAAGATTCTTGGTGTTTATTGAGCGAGTGACAGCAGTTACCAGGGGAAGTCCCTAGGACTGCAGGCCCAGTGGTTTCTGAGTTAGGAGGATGGCTTGAGAGAGGCGGACCGGGTACTTTCACATTCACAGTAAGAGGACTTCGGTCTAATTCAGGCAGGCAGATTTCTCTGGCTTCCTACCTGGCACTAAAGTTTGGGTTCCCGTGGTCTGAGTGTTGTCCTTTGGGTACAGGTGGTTTCACCCATGACGAGCTGCTGAAGGTGTGGAAAGGACTGTTTTACTGCATGTGGATGCAGGACAAGCCACTCCTCCAGGTAAGCGTGCCAGCAGGGAGCAGAAGCCGGAGCAGTGGTCTCATTGGAGGGCGGGTGGATGTGTGGGTGACCCTCAGTTTAATACAGCCGAAGACGCCACATGTAGTTGGGTACCTTCGATGCCTTTTTTTTTGTAATGTCCAGAGAACCGGGGTCTTTGGTCAGAGCGTGTCCTCTACTTGCTGACATGGTGTTGCCCGTGCAGGTCACAGCATGAGTCAAAACCTGCGAATCTGCTCAATGTTTGTGACAAAGCACAAACCAAACCATGAAAGGATGGAAACCAAAGGACACAATCCAAGTTTTCTGAGAGAAGGAGTTTTTTCCTGCTAGCTTTTTTCATACCGTCTTTTTTAAAAAGTAGACTTTTTTTTTTAATTTCAGCAGGTTTAGGTTCAGTGCAAAATCGAGAGGAAGGTAGAGATTTCCTGCAGCCCCTGCTGCACACATGCATAGGCTCACCCACCCTCTCAGCATCCCCACCACAGGGGCACATGTTGGAGTCAATGAGCCTGCACTGTCCCCTCCCCCTCACCCAAAGGGCCTGGTTCACAGGTGGGGTCACCCCTGGTGCTGTCCATCCTGAGGGCTTGGATGCATGTGGTGACCACCCTCTCGGTATCTTATAGAGTGGCTTCAGTGCCCTAAAACACGCTCCTTTTAAAATTGTGTTTCTCAGAGCGAATTGTTTGCTCTTCTTCGGAATTGCCTGGGTGGGGAGTATGTTTATTTCACGTGCAGATACCTGTGCTGTGTATTCCGTGCCTGCTAACGAGACTGTCCCAGGGAGGCTCTGGGATCACTGATTTAGCAAGTGCACTAGGTGATGCTTGGCTCAGTGACTTCACGGGGGTCCGATTGGCCTGGTCTTTCTGCCGCCCAGGGGCCTCCCATGTCTCCCTGCCATCTCCCCCACCCCAGCCTCCTGTGGCTGTCGGCTTCGGTCCTGTGGGCAGTTAGTGCTGTTCCTTGGGAGGCCCTGCAGGCCCCGCTGTAAGGGGAGGCCTCCCCCAGCAGGCGTGAACCTTGCAACCTGCCGCACACTGGGCTGTAAGGTCCATGGGCACCGTTTCTCCACCTGAGCCAGTGGGCGCTGAGTGTGCCCGTGTTTCTGCTGTTGCTTGTTGGTAACACATTTCTCAGGGACTGAGGGACTTTTTCAGTTGATTTTTACTGCTTCTGTACAGGAGGACCTAGGAAGGACCATCTCCCAGCTCATCCATGCTTTTCAGACCACAGAGGCACGTGAGTATCTGCGCCATGGTTCAGCCCTTTGGCAAGGCCAGAATTGTCAGCTACCAGACACACAAGGCCTGCGTTCTGGGTTCTAGAGCAAGAGAGAGGCCCCATTCTAGCTGCGAGTGCTGTGGCTTCTGTGTGCCGCACTGTTCTGTGTCCAGCCCGTGTTAAGTCACATCCCCTCGATAGAGTTAGCTCCACGGTCGAAAAGCCTAGTGTCACCAAGCTACTGACTGAGCCTCACCGATAGTTGTCAGTTTTCTGCTGTGTGTTTCTTGGACTTGTTTTTGTCTTGACCATGACCAGTAGTTCTCATGCTTGTTGCTGCCCCTTGGAATCCCTTGAGGGGCTAGAAATCTTGGTGTCCAGCCCTTGATTTTGTTGACTCGAGCTCTGGGGGTGGGGCCTGGGCAGCAGTCTTTCCGCTTCCCCCCACAGCTCTGAGGCCAGCCGGCGCTGGGCAGCACTGCTGGTATGGGCACTGGGACCGTTGCCAGGGAGGCTCCTGGTCACATGGGTGGGTTTAGTTCAGTTACACTTAAGTAGGCAAAGTGGGCAAAATTATGGGGTACACCAATAGAGTAACTACTCTCTTTGGGAGAGTCTCTTGTGTTACAGTTGAGTTATTAGCGGAAGAGATTTATTCTCCATAATCTTACCTTCTAAGAACTTGCAGAAGAGTTCTGGGCTCGTGCAAGGCCAAGCGCAGTGTGTCTACCCAGTGACACCTGAGTGAGCTGGTGACTGACCAGTCCTTTGCTATTGGAGGAGCTCTAGCAGATGAGATACCCTGTTTGTGTCCCAAGGTCAGGGTGTCAGCAGGGCTTGTCCCGACGCCTCTCCTGGGCACGTAGATGCCACCTTCCCGCTGTGTCTTCCCGTAGTAGTCCCTCTGTGCCTGTCTGTGTCCTGATCTCTTATAAGGACACAGATTGGAATAGGGGCCCCTGGTGACTGCATTTTACCTGAATTACCTCCATAAAGGCCCTGTCTTCAAAGAACAGTCACATTCTGAGGTGCTGGGGGGTCTGTCATCAACGTATGCATTTTAGGGGGGCACAGTTAGCTCGTGCACCCGTGTCTGACATGCCCATTACTGGTTAGGGTTCAGGGCCTTTTTGGGCCTGTGAATATAATGGGGCCAGTAGTGAGGGCAGGGAGGGGGTCAGGCAGGGCCCTCCGCCTGGGTCAAGGGGAGGCGGAGGGGGCCTGGGGACAGCGGCCGGAGCAGCCTCTCGCTCCGTGTGCCTGTTCTTCAGAGCATTGGGCCTGCAGCTGGGCTGTGCTTTCTTGCTCAGGGTCTCACAGCCCCTTTTCTGAGCCAGGTCCTAGCACCTCTTCCCAGCTGGGCACACTCGGCTGAGAACCCCAGAGGCTGGTGGCAGTCGGGCCTGACCAGGGTTCTTCACATTCTCACCTTTCCCCAGGTGGCTTCCACGCTTCTGGCCTTTTTCTCTTCCAGAGCTCCTGTTCCTTCAAACATTCTGGCAGACCATGAATCGCGAGTGGATAGGCATAGACAGGCTGCGCCTGGATAAGTTCTACATGGTGAGTTAGTGCAGGGCCTCAGTTGGCCCTGCCGTGCCGCAGTGGTGGTGTGGGGGATGGTGTCCTGTACAGTCGGGGGGGAGGGCCTGGGCGTGGCACAGAGTGGTCTGGCCTCTGAGCCCTCCTCACCCTGACAGTGCAGAGGGCAGTGACTTCTGGGCCGTGTGGCGAGCCTGAGGACTGTGACCCGTAAGCCTAGTGGGCTATGAGGGGGCCTTGGCCTCGGCCTCGCCTGGGGTTCGCATGTTGAATGCTGCAGTCTCTCTCCATTGGGGTTTACTGGGCCTTGGGTCAGTCCCCAGGTGAAGGGGCAGTGTTGCTCTCTGACAGCAGGGGACACTAACTGGGGCAGTGGCCAGCCTCACTGAGGACAGGTTGCCTCGGAGCTACAGTTACTGGTGACCGACCTGCCACTCAGTTCAGCTGCGGGCTCAGACTCGGGCCAGAGTTCTGCAGACAGCCGGTGCATGCCTGTCATAGTGAGGGTCAGCTGGTGCACGAGGCATGGAGCTCCAGAGGGAAGGAAGGTGGGGTCGGGCGAGTGGGGGCCAGGGCCAGGCTCTGCACATCTATGGGATACAATTGTACGAGGCAGGAGAGACCTCATGTAAGTTAGCATCCCATTTGCTTGGCTGCTATCCCTGGACCTTTCATGGGGTGGATGCCGTTGCTGTTCGAGGCCCGTTTCCCATGTCCCCCGTGTGACCGGATCTGGCAGACATGCTTCCCAGTAGAGGACGACTCCCCTGGTGGCGCTGCAGTATCTCCAGGGAGGGGCTGCCTGGCTGCCAGGTGCGCTCTCTACCCATCCTCTCCGCCTTTTACCGAGACTGGACCCCGCTGTGGGCACTTTGGGGTAATGTCTGAAAGGTAGCCGAGCTGGCTGGGAATGCTGTGAGTCATCGTAATCGGGCATGGAATTGAGGGGTGGAGAAGGTCACCTGTTTGCTCTTTGCTGCGGAGAGAGGTTCCAGGGAAAGCTCGGCGAAGACATCTTTGTTTCAGACCAGCTGTTCTGAGGGGCTGTGCCTCCCGTGGGGCCTGCCCTTCATTCCCCATTCTCCTGGAGCTGGGACCACCTTGTTTCAGCCGTCTTGTATGGTACTGGAGTCGCTACCCCGATGTGTCCCCCGGCAGCCGGACTCCAGGTCCTCTGGGGAAGCTGGGGCATCTCGCATCTCAGCCAGCACGGTGCACCTTCTCCAGGCCCAGGGTCCCCAGGGCTTGATGTCCCTGCGCCGACAGCTGGAGGGCCTGCTGTGCACTCTGAGCCACACAGACATGACCGGGGACTTGGGGTGTCTGTGCAGGTCCAGGTGGTGCTCCCACTGACAGGGTTCTTTTGTGCCACAGCTCATGCGCATGGTCCTGAACGAGTCCTTGAGGGCCCTGAAGATGCGGGGATGGGAAGACAGGTGGGTGCTCGTAGCAGGTGCTGAGGGCCATCTGTGTGTGTGTGTCGGGTCGTGTCCCTGGAGGATTGGGTTCACGTGATGTCAGCCTTATATAAAGACGGATCCAGTAGTGCTTAAAATGAAGGTATTTTTAAGATGAGGTTTTATGCACATGTTCACGGAAATGCTGGTTTTCAACCTTGGTACTGAGTTCTTACTGTGCATCAGAACCGAGTCCTCTTGCTACAAACAGCGCCCAGGTAAGGAGCTTTATTGTGAAACATGGTACATTCAGCTCTGTTGTCAATGCCACTTGCTCCTAGTTGTGGACACTTACTTCGCCCAGCCTCCTCACTGTTGATGCTGGTGCTCTGGTGGGGTGATCTGGTTTTGTGACCGACCTCAGGCTGCTGCTGGCAGGGAGCAGAGCAGCGGGAGGGGATTCTGCTGCAGTTGGCGGACTGGGGGCCCCTTGGCTGCCCCTCCTGAGGACCAGGCAGAGGCAGGGACGTGTGCCTGCCTGGAGCTGTGGCCTGGTCGCCTATTACGTAAGTTCCGCATCCCGGTTCTGGGCAGCAGCTTTCCAGCCCCTTGGGGCGGCAGACTGACCCTAGTACAGTGTGGCTTTCTGCGTGCTCACGTTTTTTTTAAGTTCCTAAAATGGATTTAAAATTTTTCTCTGTGATGTTTTCCTAATTATGAGGGTTGTGCGTGTTCAGTACAGAGAACACAGAAAACGGCTAAAACCTCAAAGAACAGTGTTAACTGTGAGATGTTTTTAAAATGTTGCACCGTCTGGTACACATGGTGCAGAAGGGGTGTGGTGTCACGTGGTACGACTGGCTTTGTGTTTTATCATGGGCACCACAAACACACCCCGAGTCAGCGCCCTGCTGCCGTGCGGTTTTGGGGGGTGGCCACAGGGAGGGTCTGGGAGCAGTGTATTCTGAATTGACTTGTAGTTTAAAAGCATAGATGAAGGGGTTTCTCCCAAGCATACAGAAACTAAAACTAGCATCCAGTGTGAAAGTTGTGCCTGCCCTGGAGAGGAGAGTGCAGCTTCCGGCCCGGATCACGGCCAGACGGTTTTATCTTCTGGACAGTGAAGGTTGCAAGGCCTGGCCCTCGGCTCCTTTTACCCCATGCAAAAAAGATCAGGAGTTGGACTGTAGTTACCCGAGTTTTCTGAGTTAAACTTCTTCCAGTTAGCTACATTTAGGGCAGTGTCTCTAGCTTTAGTGACATCCTTAGTTCCTACAAGGACCTTGCGGCCGGGGGTCTCCTCATTTCAGGGCTGAGGATCGTGGGTTACCTGGTGGGCAGCTATCGGCAAGTGCAACCAATGTTAAAGGCACATTTTATTTGCGCTTGCCCCCATTTATTACGAAAGTGGTTAGGTGCTCACGGTCAAGAGTAATGAAGGCAAAGATCCTCAAGGAGAAATTGGTTAATGTCCGTGGCCTGGGGGAGCCAGCGCTCCAGCTGTATGCACCCGTCTAGCCTGTTTCCATCCTTGAGGTGGTAAATGTCTGTTAGTGTGATCACTAGCCCGGGAGCAGGTCGCCTTTCCCAAGGTGTCGCCGTGCAGACTAGCCTCTGGGGAGCTTCCTCCTGCACACCTGATGGTTCAGGCTTGTGCAGGAGTCTACACTGGCCTCAGCACTGGTTTCTGCCGCTCTCTGACCTTGGAGCCCTGGGCCTTTGAGACCACTGACCCCGACGGACACCAGAGAGAGGTCTGATGGGACCTTCATGGCTGTGTGCTGGGCACAGCAGAAGCTGGGAAGCAAGCTCATGCCCCTCTGACCTGAGTCTCTCTTGTTGTGTTCGCTCTCCGCCGCGTGCCTTCCCAAGCACCTTCTAGTGAGGACGGCAGAGGGATGTGGGACATACTGGCACCTGCCATCACACCAAGCCTTTCTCCCCCCGTTTGTGATATTGGGGACAGAGGAAGGCCGTGTGAATATTTACGGCCCTTGCACTTGGTGGCTGAGAGGCAGTCATGTTCTGTGCTGCCCAGAGGCTCTGGTGACCACTGCAGTCATGGTGTAAGCGTAGCTGCAAGAGTCCTCTGTGCTGGACGCGATGCAGGTCACTGGGTCCTTGCCCGATGGTGTGACAGGTGGCATGCCGGAAGGTGGAGGGCTTGCCCGTGGTCTGCCCGGCTGCCTGCTGTACCTGCCAGTCCTTTCCTCAGACAGGTGGAGCAGCTGCTGGAGCTGCTGACCACGGAGATCCTGCACCCTGACAGCCAGGCCCCCAATGGGGTGAAGAGCCACTTCCTTGAGATCTTCCTGGAGGAGCTGAGCAAAGTGGGCGCTGACGAGGTGGGGGCAGCGGGGCGGGAGAGGGTGGCGAGCTCAGCCCTGGGTGTCTGCACGAGCCGCTGGGGCAGCCCCATCTCCCTCCCTGTAGCTGACAGCCGACCAGAACCTGAGGTTCATCGATCCCTTCTGCAGGATCGCTGCCCAGACTAAGGAGTGAGTGACGGGGGCTCCTTGCCATCGGGTTCTTCAGGCTGCCACCTTTGGGGAAGAGGATGAGTTGTGGATGCATAAGCTGTGGGGAGGGGGTGGGCGGCACAGCGAGTGACGTGGCCTGGGTCGCCGGCCTCACGGGGCCTGGCCTGCTCCGCCAGCCCCCTGGTTCTGCATAACATCACTCGAGGCGTCCTGGAGACGATTGTGGAGCAGGCCCCGTTTGCCATCGAGGACCTGATGAATGAATTGGACACTCAGGAGGAGGACACGTTGGAGGGTGACGAGCAGGAACAGGGCTTCCCGTCCAGGAAGCCACCTGAAGGTGAGGCTCATGGCACATGCGGACGTGACGGCTCAGTCATGGCTCTGCTGGGCCCCTTGTCTTCAGCTCCTGCTGTGGCCCCTATGTTTCTGCCCTCGCCCCCGGAGTCTGGTCTCAGCCGGCAGTCAGGGTGACCTTCCCAAACAAGCCCGTGCTGCTTGCTCTCCTAACCCTGAGTGCCCCCAGTGCCATCCGACCCGCCGGGCCCCTTGGATCCCCCCTCGCACCCTGGGACCTCTGCCCTGTCACTCAGGGCCCTCCCCTGCCGCTGTTGAAGGTGCAGCCTCCCAGCCCCTGCCCGCCTCACTCAGCGGTCTTCCCCTGCACTGTGTGTCATCTTCTGACTTAAAGTGCTGCTCAGAGTGCCTGTCCCATCTCCTCTGGGTCAGGGAGCTCAGGGATCACAGCTTTTCCCCCAGTGCCGAGAGCAGCGCCAGGCACAGAGGAAGTGCCCGCTGACTGGGGGTGAGTGAGCGAGAGCGGGGGCAGATGAAGCAGTGCTGCAGGGTGTTGGGGTGGGGCCCAGGGTGCCGGCGGTGGTGGGACCTGAGCTGGCCCGTTTGTCCTCTGGGTGCCAGTGCGGGTCCTTGGTGGATGTCAGCTGGTCTCGTGGGGCTGACTTTGGGGTCCCCCGCGCATATTGTGCCCAGTGGCTGTGGTGGGGCGTGTCATTGCCCACCAGCTTCCGGACTCTCCTTGCCCCCACCTTTCCTGTGGTGGTGAAAGTTACAGAGAGGTCACTGTGCTGACCATTTCTGAGCGTACAGTTCCGTGACATGTACACTCACCTTGTCATGCAGGCATTGCCGCCATCCATTCCCCAAATTCTGCATCTTCCCACACTGAAAATGTCCCCACTGAACACTGATGCCCCAGGCAGCCCACCATCCAGCTCTGGGCCGCCACCAACCCACTTTCTGTCTCCAGGGATCTGACAGCTCTAGGGTCCTCGCATAAATGGGCTCCAGTATTTGTCTTTTTGCGTCCCCCCTGCTCCACGGAGCGTAATGCCCTCGAGCTTTGTGCACGTGGTGTGTGCATCGGAACTTCTTTTCTAAGGCTGAGTAATCCACTCTGTGATGGACGTTTTGCGTATCCTTCATCCACGAATGGACACTTGGGTTACTTGCACGTTCTGGCTACTGTGAGGCACGGTGCTGTGAACGTGGGTGTGCAGATGGCTCAGGACCCTGTTTCACTTCCCTTGGCTATACACCCAGCAGTAGAGTTGCTGGGTCCCGTGGCACTTCTGTGTTCAGTGTTCAGGAACCACTGAGCCATTGTCCACAGCAGCTGCACCGTGTTACCTTCCCACCTGCAGTGCCCAGGCCCCGGTTTCTCCCTATGCACACCAGCGCTGTTGTTTTCTGGTTTTTTGATGGCAGCCCCATCCCCGTGGGTGTGAGGTGCTGTCTCTTTGTCATTTGCATGTCCCTGACAGCGGTGGTGCTGAGCATCCCCTCATGGATTTGTTGGCCATTTGTATGTCTTCTTTTGGAGAGGTCTGTTCAGGTCCTTTGTCTTCCATCCAGGTCTTTTGTTGTTGAGCTTTCGGGGTTCCCTGTACATTCGGGATATTAACCCCTGAGCAGATGCATGATTTGCAGTGTCTTCTCCCCTTCTGGAGTTGCCTCTGTAGTCTGTGGTAGTGTCTGATTTTCATGAAGTCGAGTTTATTTTTTCTCATTATCATGCCTTTGTCATCCTATCCAAGAAATGATTGCCAAGTCGGTGTTATGTCAGTTTCGCTCTGAGTTTTCTAAGAATTTTATCATTTGGTGCTTGATCGACTTCAGGTCTCTGATCTGCTTTGAGTTGATTTTGTATGTGGCATGAGGTAAGGGCCTGGCGTCATTTTTCTGCCTGTGGATGCCCAGTTTTCCCAGCACCGTTTGCTGAAGGGGTTGCCCGTATCCTGCTGAGTGGTGCTGGCGCCCTCGTGGAGGCCACTGACCGTGGGTTCGGGGTCACTGTCTTCCCTCGCCCTTGCGGACATGCTCCTGGGCTTTCTCGCTAGACGGTGTCTCTGCCTGCGCATTTTATCCGGTAGTGCCTCCCTTTGCTTCCCCCCAGCAGCCCAAGTCCTCCCGGCACCGACAGACCCAGGAGTCTCCTGGTGGGCCCACTGATGCCTGCCTGCCGCCTTGCTGTCCTCGTTGTCTGCCACGTGCACCCCGCTCCCAGCCACCTGCTGTCCAGAACCCTTCCTCTGTAGGCAGTGACATCAGAGCCCCAAATGATCTGAACCGTGATCTCCCACCACCCCTCAATCCCCGCCTGCCTTTTGGCCTGCCTACCCTTCTTCCTCGCTTCTGGAACTTGTGAACTACATTTGCTGCCTAAGATGCCCACTCATATTCCTGCTGAATTTCACCCTTTAAGGACAGGTCAGGCCCCTGTTCCTGGGCCTGGGTGAGGTCATTGGTGTCCCCTTGCCAACTTGTGCCCTGGATCTCCCTGCCTATACCTGTGTGCCCTGCCCAGGTTGTGGGCCCTGTAAACAGGTGTTTGTTGAGGTGCCGTGCATACTGGGCGTGCATCCTTGAGTTCACGGGGCCCTCTTGTTCTAGGCTCCTCCCGTGGGCCTGACCCCGGTGAGGGTGAGGAACAGGCAGGAGACGGTGACGATGATGGCAGCAGTGGCCCTGTCCTCCAGGTGGGTGGCCTGACCGGTGGGCCAAGTGCTCGGCCTCCACCCTCGCTCCACGGCCAACTCTGGATCCAGTGGGGCTGGAGGGGAGGCGGCCTCTGCACAGGAGCCGGCGGCAGCTGTCTGACCTGGATTTGGTGGAGGGCGGGTGCTCTGGGCCCCTCGTCTGCGGGAGCACTGGGCCCTTGGGAACTGGGTTGGGACCGTGTGGCTTAGCAGTGGCGCCCCAGGCCTGCCCCCTGAGCCTCAGGGTGCCGGGTGGTCAGCACACAGGCCCCCTGCAGGCAGGGCTCAGTATTCGGGACCTGAGACTTCAGGCACAGGGCAAGTGTAAGGTACTTACTAAGTCCTACTACCGGTTACTCATTGAATTCAGATTTTAGGTATTGTGGGTTAAATAAAACATATGCAAATGGATTTCACTTGTTTTCTTCCTGCTACTTTAACGTGGCTGCCAGAGGACCTAAAGTTTCAGGAGGCCACTTGGGCAGCCCCCTCGTGTTTCCATGGGGCAGCACTGTCCTGGAGCACATATGCTGCCTGGTGTAGAGGGCATGTGCTGAGGGGGCAGCGGGAGGGCCTCGGGTATCCATGTGACCGGAGCAGAGAATCCGCATGTGGTCCTCAGGCTCCGTGGGCGGTTCCCATTCTGGGAGCCCCTGCAGGGGCTGACTCTTCTTCATGGCGTCTCTCTGTGAAACAGTTCAACTATGAGGCCGTTGCCAACAGACTGTTTGAGGTGGCCAGTCACCAGAACACCCCTTCTCAGAACAGGAAACGTCTCTACAAAGTGATCCGAAAGTAAGGGCTCTCGGATGGCGGCGGCGTCCTTCCCACTGCCCTCGGGTGGTCCTTTGCTTCATCAGCCCTGGTTTTTCTGCTTGGCCCACATGCCTCCCCAGTCGCCTCAGCCTGGGGCGGGTGGGGTCAGGCCCTGTGTTCAGAGCGCTTGTAGCCGTTGTGTCCCCTGCTGGAGGTCTGCGTGGGTGCAGCCACCTTCCTCCTCCAGAAGCCCCTGCCCTGGGGAGTGACTATCTTTCGTTCTTTCAGGCTGCAGGACCTTGCTGAAGGTGAGCGCTGGGCTGCCCCGGAGGCCGGCCCCCCAGTGAGAAGATGGTATCCTGGGAGTGGCTTGGATCCCGTGTTCAACCACACAGCACGGATAATCTTTGCAGAGAGGCTGGTGGTGTTTTTCAAGGGGAGGTGGGCCCAGGGATTCTGCAGTTCCCGTCCTGCCGCAGCACAGTGGTTCTCAGCCTGAGTGGGTGTGAGAATGCCCTCGAGGCCCGTGAGCTTAGTGCTGAGCCCCAGGGCAGGGCTGGGCAAGGAGACTGTCCTAGTGAGTGCCAGGCAGGCCTGGCTGTGGGTGTGCGGTGAGGCGACCGTGTCTCCTCAGTGTGTGGCTGCTGGGACCACGAGAGCTTTCCCTGTAAAGTTTTGTAGGTCTGGGGTGAAGATGAAGGCGTTTCCCGCCATCCTTGTGAACCGTTTAAAGGCCAACAGCCGTGGCAGGACTTTGCAGTGAAGACCTGCGTGTCTGCTGCCTCATTCTGCCTCAACATTTTACTGTCCTTGTTTTATCACACATGCACTCTCCTGCCCTCCCTCCAACCGTACCCTTTAATGCTTTGTGATCAGCATAAACTAAAGTCCAGTGTTTTTTAGGTAAAATTTAGGTACCATAAAATGCATGAATGTTGTGTATATCTTATCATTTGACCAAATGTGTGACCTGGGTGACTCCCTCTGCTATGAAAGCAGGGAACCTCACTGTCGCCCCAGAAAGCCCGGCCCCGCCCCAGCAGGCGCACCTGGAAGGACTAAACTGGATGGGCCATGGATGCTGCCATAGTCAGCCCGGCCCGGTCTGAGCTGGTGGCAGCTGTCTTGGGTGTAGACCGGGGCCTGCTTGCACGAGCTCATGTGAAGCAGTGAGTGTGCAAACTGAAAGAGCACGCAGGCCTGGCTGCAGCCATGACCATCTGCCTTGGTCCGTAGGCCTCTTCCCTGAGGACGACATCCTGGAGAAAGCCTACAGGAAACTGCAGGAAGGGAGGCGGGAGAGGAAAAGGAAGAAGTGTTTGCCCAAATTCCAGCTGCAAAACAAGACAGGTGGGCGCAGCTGCCTCTGCCGCCGCCTGCCTCCCACGCCCACGGTCCCCCTGCCATGTCCTGGTGGCCGCCTCCCTCCCTGCTGTGCTCACTGCAGCTCTGCCTGCCTGCTGCTTCCAGCCCGCAGCATCTTTGACCAGACCCCGTCCACCCCTCGTCTTCTCTTCTCCCCCTTCTTCCTTCTCTTCAGCGTCCTTTAGAGATTCCTCAGCGTTAGAGGCTCCCCTTGCTGCCACCCTCCCCAGCCTGTCCACAGGAGTGTAATTAGACTGACTGCCCTTGCCGAGGGCCGTCCTGTGCCTGCTGCGGGCCGCCGGGGCCCTGGATGCCGCTGCAGCAGAGGTGGGCTGTGCCCACAGGAGCAGGCCGGGCAGGGCCTGGAGCATCCATGGCTGAAAGGGGAATGCAGAAGAGGTTCTTGGCTGCACCCATGTGCTAAGCTGGCCCCAAGGTCCTGGGATCTGCTCCTTAAAGCGTCTCTGGAGTTCACTTCCTGCCCTGGCCCAGGCCACCTCTGTCTGTGGTGTCTCATACCTGGGTCCTTGCCACAGCCACTGGACGGGCTTGTATACTGTTGCCAGGCTGTTCCCTGAACTCCGCCTCCTGGTTCCTTTGTGTGCTGATTTGAGGCTGAGCTTCGGGCCCTGCCTTCTGAGCCTGCCTCTCCCAACCAGCATCACCTTCAGCCCCCATGTGCAGTGAGCCTAGGCCCCTCTCCGTCATCCTTTGCCACCTGCTTCTCCTTTCTCCTGATTCTGCCCACACGCTGGTCTTGCTGAGTGAAGACTCCCCTCCTGGTCAGCCTTCCCGGGTCAGGAGCCACTTCAGTCTCACACCTGCCTGGTGCCCTGGCATCCGCACTGGCTCGGTTCCCTGGACGGGCGGGTGTGGGTGTGCTCCTTAGGCTGTGGCTGCTGTCACGCGGGCACTTGGTGTCCTCTGCTCTGCCCCGGCTTGGCACCTGTGTCAGCCTCGAAGGGAGATGAAGCCTTCATGCTGCCTGTGTCACATGACCTTGCTGTTCTAGGGAAAGGTGAAAGGGCGGGCCGTGGTCTAGACCTGAGCTCCGGATCTGAGAGGATGAAGACCAGGCGGCGGCGGCGGCGGGGGGCTGCAGCCGACCCCATTGCACCCCAGGAGCAGCCGGGGGGCTGCGGCAGGAGAGGCACCTTCAAGCAGCGGCGGCGGCCTTGGGCAGGGCCCAAAGTGAAGGGGACCAATTGCCAGAAGCCGGACAGGAAAAAGAAGCGGCAGCTGGAGGGCCGGGAGTGAGTGGCTGGCCCCACAGGTGGGGCTTTGGAGGGACTGCGTGGAGTGAGGGGACGGGACGGTGGTGCCGCCTTTCCAGAACCCAGGACACCGACTGTCCCCACTTGCTGGTCCCCACCACATGGCAGGTGGCCAGGGCTAAATGGCAGCTGGCTCTGGTCCCCTGCATGGGGCGTAGGAAATAAAATGCCAGAGGTTCTTATAAACGAGTCCCTGTATCTGGGTGGTGATGCAGGACTTCCCGTGGTGTAAACTGACAGGCCCCAGGTCCTGGGCAGTGTTTATGTGTTCCACCTGTTTTGTGGGAAAAGGTGTTTATACAAACCCTGGAGAAGGTGCTGGTTGTCAGCAGCTGTCTGGACAGCACCTTATACCTGTGTTTGGAGTTGCCAGGGAGTGAGCACTCTGTGTCTGCCTCACGGTGTGGGGTTGGCATGTACCCGCCCTTGTCCCTGTGCCTTAGCGGGGGGACTGACTCTGGGGTCCCTGGCAGGCCCACCTTGCCCACACGCCTGCCCTCCCCACCTGCACATTTAGTTCTGGTCCCACAGCTCGTCCCAGTGGGTCTGAGGCAGCTACACTCGCTGGACCCCGACCAGAGCGCTGTAGGGGGACACGTGCTGGGATGGGGTGCTGGAAGGAGCCCTTCGTCCACGAACCTGAATTAAGGGGAAAATAAGAACGCAGTGTAGCTCCCTGTGGCTTCAGGCAGTGTGCTGTGGCCAGGGCTTCCAAGGGCTGCCTAGGTGACGGGGGCACATCTCAGCCAGCCACCCGAGCCCCTGCTGGGCTGAGGTGTGCGGTGAGGCCCAGCCTGGGGAGGACCCACAGGGGTCAGAGTGGAGCCCTGGTTCCCACAGCCCTGCTGCTGCAGGCAGGCTCTGTTACCCAGCCCCGTGTTACAGAAAAGTTGCAAATAGAAAGTGTGTTTTCCCCCAAACTTTGAGAGTGTGTCCTATTTTGAAGCTCATCACTGTGAGCCTTCCCAGTGTGTGTCCTACAACAAGGACCTTCTCTTAATCAGTACAGCCATCAGGTTAGGATTCATATGGGTACCTCGGTACGTCTAGCCCTCAGGCCAGTTCAGGGACATCCAGCCACAGGACCCTGTTTGGAGTCACCTGCATCTGGTCCCCTTGGGTCGGGACCAGTTCCTCCATCTTAGCTTCACGTCCGGGACCCGGGACACTGGGTGCACCAGCTATGGTCTGGTGGTGCGCCCTCCACTGTGGGTGTCTGGGTGTGGGTGTCGCCTTGGCGGTCGTATCCCGCCCAGGGTCTCCGCCTGTCCTGAGGCAGGCCGTCTTGTGAAAGTGGCTGTGTCCCCTGCTGCTTCACTGCCGATAGGAACGTCGGAGGCCCAGCTTCTCATTGGACTTGGGTTTACCCACTGGTTTACTGACAGCAGCGGCTCCTGGTGTCCTCTTAGCCAGCGGGCTCTGGCCCATTGCTCTCGCTTGTCTTACTGCCGCGTGTTGCTGGCTGGCTGGTGGGAGGCCCTCAGGCTGGCTCTGTTCCTCTGGGTCTCCATTCTTCACCAGCACTCCCTGCCTTCAGTCCAGGAAGAGGCTCTGGCCACTTGCTTCTCCAAAGAGGCCATTGTCTTTGAGGCTGTGGCCCTGCCTGGCTTAAGCTGGTGTGGATGGGGGTCTGCTACGGCCTTTGCCTTTTTTAAACAACTTTATTGGGATGCTCTGCTTAGACTATTCAGCCATAGTCACTGGGCTCTGAGTATGTTCACAGGGCTCTGCCTCCATCACCACAGTCCAGTTTAGGATGTTTTCATTCACCCCAAAAGGAAACCCCCTTCTCAGGGACTCCTTTATCTTAGGAAGAAAGCTGCGTGTGGCTTTTGGACCAGCAGGGTGGTGACAGGTTACTGACTACAAGGCTAATACATGTTTACCGTTTCCTTGAGCAGTTAAGGGTCAGGAACAAGTACAGCTTGTGTTTAAAAGTAATTAGACTTCCAGTAGCAAATGTGTTTTACGACTTTGTGGTTATATCACCAGCTCGCCTAAGGAGCCTGTTGCCGGATTAAAAAACAGCTCTGAACTCTGGGTTAGACGGGGTGTCTTGGGGAGCCTCCCCTCCTTTGGTGTTGTACAAATAGGGCCTGTCCCTGTGCTGCAGGCTCTCGGCACCCGGGGCTTGGGTCACCGCAGTTAGCCTCGCCCTCCTTGCCCTGGCTTGCCAAGAACGGTCAAGAACAACACAGCCCTGAATTCCCAAAGTGCTCACACCACCAGGGTGTTCTCCCCGTGAGCTCATCGGATGCCTGTATGACTGGCCCCCTCCCTTTAGCCAGGACCAGTCAGGCTGTAGCTCCATGGTGGGGCAGAGCAGGGAGAGGCCGTGGCCCAGCTGAGGGGTCAGGGTGGCAGGGGGTTCTCCTTGGGGTAGAGGGGCCGGTTGTGGGTGAGGCCTGGGAAGGCAGCCAGGCCCTCTCTTGACCCCCCCCCACTGTCCCCACTGTGTCCTCGACACCTCCCATCCAGTCTGGAACTTGCCATGGTGAGTGGGTACAGTCCCACCATCAGCCTCTGGGGGACCTCTCCAGTCCTCGGTGGGTTGAGGGGGTGCTGTCCCACCTGCCCCAGGGGCCAGAACCCAGATCTTGATCTTTTCCTTGAGTGAGTTCTCCAAAGGTGCCCTGTGGGACTGGACCCCGTTGCTGTGGCTTTGCGGCACAGTCCTTCCCCAGGCGGTGGGCAGATGACCAGAACTCAGCCTGTGGTGGGACAGGCATGTGGATCCTTGGCCGGCCGGCTGATCTGACAGCCTGACTCCTCCTTGAGGCCCCAGGGTACACGCAGCCAGGCCTGGCTATCAGGCGGCTGGTGTCCATCCCGCTGGCTCCGAGGACTTGGCTTCTCACCCCTAGCCAGGCTGGCCCACAGGTGAGGCCCATGTGGTAGGCGCTTCCTTCCCGAGCAGCCTCAGGGTCCAGAAAGCACCTCCAGCATGCTCTCCAAGGCTTCCCTGGGAGGCTGGGAGAGCTACAGGCCACTGTGCTCCACCTCCTCCCTTGGGGAGTACCTCACTTCCACCTCCTGGGAGAAGGGAACCCTGGAAGGAGACACACTCTGCCCCCAAGCCAGCATGGCCCCCTCAGCCAGCATTGTGGAATGGGGCCCACAGGAGAAATGGGGACACCTGTTTATTCTTAGCCCTGGGGCCAACAGCCCTGCCCACCATAGAGGCCCCTGGATTCACGGGGTCAGAGGTTGAAGGATGCAGGCAAGAGAAAGTTGTGCCCTTGAGGGCCCTTCGGGGTCCCTGGTTTGGAGGGGCAGCGGTGGTGGGTGAGACAGGACATGCCCTTCGGTCTGCAACGGGCAGGGGGAGAGGAGCCCTGCTGAGCCCTGGTCTGGGCCCTCAAGTAGGTCCCTCAGCGCCCCAGGCCGCATTTCTTTATACATGGAGGCGTGTGCAGTGATGGCTGGAGGCCAGAGGGATGCCGCTGATGCTCGGCATGTGGCCTGCTTCTGGGGCCAGCTCCGTGTCTGGAAACCTGAGAACACGGAGTCCGGGTAGAAAGGAGCCCACATTCCCTCTGCCTCCCTTCCTGGGCTGGGCTGGCATCATCCTGGTTTTAGGTTTTGCCCAGTGTGTCCCCCACCTGCCCCAACTGCACATTTGCTGGCTGGGTGCAGCCCAGCATGTCTGCCAAGCCCTGTGGAAGATGGGCAGGTGGGACCCTGCCTGTGGGTTCACACAGCCATTGCACCCCCTTGGCCACACCCTGCCTGGCTCCTTGGGGGTCAGTTCAGGTGGGGCCCCTCATTGCAGCTGGGCAGCACCAGCTGCTGTCCATCCTGGGGCCTGGCCACAGGGGCCTGTGGGCATCTCTCTGCCCTGATGTCATTTCCTTTCATGTTTCTCCCTTAAGAACCTGAACTGTGTTAATTTCAAACTCCCATGTGGGGTTGTCTGCAGTGGGCATGCTCCCAGCTAAAGGCAGCCCTCCAGGTGTCCCGGTCCCTGGCGGCCCGGCTCAAGCCTCTGCAGCCGCACCTGCTTCCCTCCTGCCACCTTCTCTGTCCTGTCCTTCCTAGGTATCTGTGCTGTGTAACAGAGCTACCACCAACAGCTCTGGAGCCGACAGTTCCGTAGGTCAGGAGTCAGGGCCCGGCCCGGCAGGACCCCCTGCTCAGGGTTTCCCGGGCTACAATCGTGGTGTCAGCGGGTCGTTGTCCTATGTGGGTCTTGGGATCCCCTCCCCAGCTGCCTGCTTGTCGGCAGCAGTCAGTTCCTTGTGGCTGTGGGGCTGAGGTCCGCTTGCTGGCTGTCCGCCGAGGTCACTGAGCAGGAGGCTGCCCACAGTTCTCAGCCCAGGCCAGCAGGAGAAATTCTCACCCTTTGAGTCCTCTGACATCCTCTCTTGAGTGCCAGCTCTCCTGATGAGGCCAGGCCCAGCCTGCAGGGTGCACTCACTGTGGGGTGGGCATCTGGGTGCCACCTGGGAGTCCTGTCCCCACAGTCCCTACGGCTTGTCCCTCTCCTGCATTTTGCACCTCAGAGTGTGGCCCAGGAGCAGACTGATGGGCCCCTTTCCTCTCCTGCTCCTGGAAAATCTCTGTTCTGAGAAGTTTGCCAGAGAGGAAGAGGAGAGCTGGAATGCCAAGGGTGGGGGGATGTGATTGGGGCCAACTGAGCCGGAGAGTGGCCCCCGTGCCCCTCGGATGCCCAGACTGCTCGGCCTCGCCTGGCAGCACTGCTGGTTCATGGCCCGGGGACCGGGAAGCACGGGCAGGAAGGCAGGGTTCTGGGTCATGCCAGCACCCCACCTTGACCCAGGGCCCAGCTGCCCGCCTCGCTGTCAGCAGTGCCCTGCTTACCCCATCCTGCGCAGCCCCTGGGGTCTGCCCTGCCTGCCTGCCACCCCAGGGTGCCCCCAGGCCAACGCTAGGGTGGACCAGGTTTGGGCTCTCAGCCCTGGCCCTGGGCCTGCCAGGGCGCAGTTTGGAGCATATGATGACTGCAGGACAAGTGGTGCTGGGGCCTGTTTGCTGCCTGCCACACCTGTGTCCTCAGCCCTGTCTGTGGAGGACAAGTGTGTGACACAGCTGCCCGTGACGTGTGGAGGGCACAGCCGGTGTCCTTCCCTGTGGTGCGCTGGCCTCTGGGCTAGCTCCTATCCGGTTGCCAACTTTGAGCCTGGTTCCTGGGGCTGGATCCTGCCTCCTGGGCTGGAGGGCCAGGCTAC